TGGGGGGGGGGGGACGGAGGGAACGGAAGCATTGCATTGTTGCTGCTCACTCGAGCAGGTGTCACTATGGAATACATCGGTGCAATCAATACAGCGGTAGCGACTAAACAGACTTTTTGGTGCGTTTTTTTTCTCGCCGTCCCCACGACGGCTTGTTATCCTGCTCCAATTGCTACTGGTCGCCCCGGTAGTCTATTGATAGTAGGTATCCTCGTAAACCTTATAGCAATTGGGGTCAGGGGTTCGAATCCCGCCGTAAGCGAGCTTTTCTTGGAAAGTGAGTTTTTCTCTCGCTTCCGTTCCTGACCTGGGTGGAAAGCGCTAGTTCGTGTGTACACAAAAGGAAGGGAGTACTGCACTCTTCTCGCATTCAAAATCGAAGGCAAAGTACCGCAGGAGGGGCGGGTAGGGAGAGGAGGTCTTCTGTGTGACCACGGGTTGGAGTAAACGGCACACGTAAGTGCTGTGAGCGCTGATTTGAAGTGAAGACGAAGCAAACAAACAGAAAAAAAACGACTCATCCTTCAGCGCTGTGCTCTGCGCGGGTCTAATTGATGCTACAATTTGCACACCAAGAGCACGGTCACGCAACAGCAGTAGCGCCACAAGTGGTTCCTTCACTTGGAAACCTCGGAGTACCTTCTCGCCGTACGTATGGTGTCGGAGCGAGTCTCTCAACAAAAACATCGCAAGCCGTGAGAACGTACAACAAACAGGTAGCGGCGAGGTGAACCCTTCTGGCGTTGCAAATTAAAGGCAGGCACCGCGAGATAAAACGTGGAGGAGTCCTCTTGTCTGTCTGTGTCAGTCCGGGCGTTGCGTGAAAGACACCGTGGGTGACACGACGTAAGATAGCACACCCTCTGGTCCGATTACTTCACCGAGAAGACGATCAAACGATACATTTTCGGAAAGCTCTCCAAGAGACGGTTCCTTCGACACCAACCTCGGCACCATCACTGATTCCGCTGCGAGTAGCCCAACTTTGAAAATCGTGCTCTTGTGCACTCGGCGGAATAACGAAAGACTGAGGTATGGTACTGATGCCCAGCTTGGAAGGAGCACATATACACACGTCCTTTTTACAAGATACTAAGGGCCTGCAAATATGCCCCTAAGAAAACCGCGGGCAAACGGGCTGGTAGTTGAGTGCCAGAGTGGCTTGCAGACCGGCTTGACCTTAACAGGAAGTACAATCTAATATAATGGCTGTGTTGAATGTGTTGAGCATTTTTTATTTTACTGGTTTCGGCAGTACATACATATGGTAGGCGTGCTGTTTCAAAACAACAGAACCACAAAACATGAGGGTCCCGCGGAACCTTGCATGGGGGCAGAAGGCTTCATTCGGCGGTTGATGGACAAGGATGTCAGCGATGTATACACAAACCGGTTTGCGCGTGGGGATGACTACGTGAACGGAGAGAGTGTGAGGCCGAGCGAACGCAGTGGGTGCAACATCTTTTGACAGAGACAGACAGGCTGCATGTCATCAACTGACGGTGCCAACGTGCGAGGGAGAAACATGCCAGAATAACGGCTGTGTGACCCCGGTTGATCTTCGACGACAGTGTCCAATGATGGGAGAAAAAAAAAAAAAAGGAACACCGCCGTTGTGTGTCACCGGCTGGGCACAAAGGCTATTCACGACGCACTAACTAGGCTACTATGATCTGGTGCAGTACCGGTGGCTGAACACTGGGTCTTACGCCACTTTTCGACATTTTCTGAAGACCTGACCCTGTCGTCTCGTGTGAGTGCGCGTATTTAGCTGCTGTCTGGTACTTGCTGCTACCGGACTCGTGGATAAATAAAATCCTGGTGCGAACGCCGCAGCACCAGGCTGTTCGCCACAGGCTTGGCTCTGCCTCTGCTGTGGCTGCGTACTTTCGGCAATTCGACGCTTGTCCAACCCTTCAACCAAGCCGAGGTCGATCTAGCCCAGAGGCCCAAAGCACGGCTCAATCCACGCACCCGCTCGCGAAGACGTCGTGGTCTTTTTCGGTCCCTTGGTTTACCTGCCCAACAGCTGCCCAGCAGATGCGACTTCGGTGCTGAAGATAGTTGGCAGTTTCGCAGAAGCGACTGCGGTGCACAAAGCCCAGCTGCCTTTTGCCGACTGCTCACCGGTAGACTGTGAGTCACGTCTCCACAAGGCACCGCAGTGCGGGCTAGTGCCTATTTGAGTGCCGTGTGTTGAGCCTAGGGCAGCAACTGCGAGGTGGGTGCTGCTGGAGTGCGCGGTGGGGTGTAGGCAGAACTCCAAACGACAAGCGACTCTCCTAGTCTGTAGTTGTTGACGTTGCGCTCCAGAACTTACCTCAACACGAGCCCTTGCGCAGGCCTCGGCCATCTCCCGGCCCCACCCTGCGCCAAGGAATCTCTAGCACGTCTCAACAGCGGCCTCATACCGTGACAGCCAATTGATTACGTCCTACTAGCCGTGCGTGGCGGTGCCGGTAAACACTAGCCAAGCCAGCAACGACGCGAATTGGGACTTCGCAAATCGACATACTCCAATACCCCTCACACACAATATGGGGGCTCCGTGGCCTATCATCCAGCACTATCACAACAGCAGCAGAGCAGTGAGACCGACAGAGAGACAAGAGACCGACACACACGGCGGAACAAGCATAGGGGCTCGGTGAGAGGGGTGGCGAGAACGGCGTGTTTTTCAAGCCGCGTGGCGTTCTTCGAGTTCACTACTGCTGTTTTGCCTTTTGTTTCTACGGCATGACCACTTTCGCGAAGCACAAGACGAAAGACGAAAGACGAGCATGTCTCGCCGCACTTGCGAGCTTCAACAAGAAGAAGACCGCCGTTTAGCCAAAGGAGACAAGGAGGTTGCCTTTTGTATGAGATAATCGTCTCGTCTCCTTTCTGCCTTTGACTGGTCTTGTCGCGTACGGCGTAACGGTGCAGTTGAAAGAACGTGGTTGAAGGGACCACATCGCAACGTATCATTCCTCTACTCTCCCGATTCCCGGTGCTGTACACTCTCAATATATTCTAGCAAAATGCATACCAAACCAACATCATTTACCTGCAGAGGCCGAACACCTTTTGCTAAAGGTCATCCACAGCACAGCTGGTACCATTCGCCTCCCTCGTAGACGGATGGACAGAAGGTGTTCGATCGAAGCCCCCTCTTACACAACCACAACAATGAATCTAAGTTGGTGTGCAGGGTCACCGCTGTGTTTTTTTTCTTTTCTGCAGAGCACCAAAGTACTGCTGATGGATCTTATCCATAAATCCTAATTAGTCGAGAGTCGAGAGCGCCGTCTAGGCTTCTAAGCTTGTCAGTCGAGCAGTCGAGTCTCTCGGCAAGGAACGGTTGTTCAAGAGATACTCCGGAGTATGCCAAAACTATGCAAATACCTAAACTATCCACTGCGGCGGTAAAAACCAACTTGCACAAAGCACGGGGCGCCATGATTTGAGTCCAAGGCCGCAGTACGATCCGGGTATGCATGAATGTAACAAGATTATGAAGTGGCTGGCAGATGAAGCTTTTTTGGCTGCTGTTTAAGAAGCTCCATGTCTCTTGGTTGGAGGACTTTTCGGGGCTCCACTTCTATTTGCTTTCTTGAATGGCGTACCCCCTGTAGGGGGTAGTTGGCTGGCTTATGACCACGGAAGGCGTCCGCTTCAGTTGGACTAGACTATTATTATAATACGGATATGAGCAAAAGGTACTGAGCGGAGACCGGAACGGTTTGTTATGCTATGTCAAAACAACATCAACAATTCACCTGCAGGTAGGGCATAGCGCGTTTTGAGTTCTGGAAGGCGTTGGTGTGGGACGGCACAGGTCACACGCTAGACCCTCGCACACAAGTGTAGAGAGGTGTACAGCAGTACGTGCATCGTCAATAGTGGTGCGTAGGAGCGTGTTGGTGTACCGCTCATCTCTTGTATCCCACCTGGTGACAAATCGAAAAACTGGGCCGAGCAACCCGTCCGTAGACTACATTACACCCAACAGCAGCAACCAACACGGCAGATGCAAACATAAGTACACAACAGCTGTACTTGTCAACTCGCTCTGTCATCAAACTCCTATTTGTCAGCTCCTCGATCGGGTGGACCCAAACATCTCTCTTTGTGTTGTGTGAGGTGTCGGCTGTTCCCCGGCGCTCGCTGATGACGCGTGTGTGTGTGCGTGTGTGTATTCCGCTCTCGAGAAGGTGAGATGGTGATGGTGAAACAAACGGACAGCTCCACCACCTGTTGTTGGTTTGCTAGGCCCGTGCCGGGGGAACGATTTTCGTTAATCTTTTTTCATCCCATTTGTTCTAGACTTGGGTCTTCACGCCTTTCTCCTGCATGTTCCTTCCACCGCAGCAGGTGGCGGCTTGATTGTGCGAACACACACGAACGATGTTGTCCCTGGCCAAGAGGATTCGCGAGACTGTGACTCCAGCGAGAAGGACGTCAGCGTTCCTGAGCCAGGGGGTACTTACCCCCGAGGAGTTCATCGAGGCCGGCGAGCAGCTAGTGTTCAAGTGCCCAACCTGGACATGGTGAGACGTAAGAGAGAGAGATAGGGAGAGGGAGAGGGAAAAGAGGCAGGCAGACAGACGGACAGCAGACAGACAAGACATTGAGGCAGAGAGAGAGAGAGGGAAGAAAGACAGACAAACAGACAGACAGACATGGGAGGGAGGCAGAGAGAGAAACACGCGTAGAACCAGAGAGAGGGAGAGGGAGAAAACGAAGACGGTCGACCTTTCGGTACGGCACTGCCATGGTATTTTATGCAAATGGTGGTCGGTAGTTTCGAGTGCCCGAATGAGCACGTCGACAGAACCATGCAGTCCAAAGGCTGTTGGTACCGCACCGGTGTTGCTGTCGCTGCTGCTTTTCTGCTGCTGCTCTTTCTGCTGCTGCTGCTTTGCTGCGGGTGATGGTGTCGCTGATATTGGTGCTGCTATTGTTTCGTAGTGGTTGCTGCTGCTGCTGCTGCTGCTGCTGCTGCTGCTGCTGCTGCTGCTGCTGCTGCTGGTGCTACTGGTGCTGCGGGTGGGGGCATTGTGTCTATTGTCAAGGGTTCGGTGAGACGTGCATCCCTTGACGTTTTTTCCTCCTTGGCATGTTTACAGGGAGGCCGGGGACCCGTCCAAGGCGAAGGACTGTTTGCCCGACAAGAGCCGACAGTTTCTCGTTACAAGAAACGGTGAGTAGCGATGAGGGGGGGTCGAAACCATTTTTCTTCTTTATTGTTGTTGGTGCTGCTGCTTGTGCTGCTGCTGTTGCTGTTGCTCTGATGTAGGCCGTCAGTGTACTGCTGCCTCTCCCTCTGCTGCCATTGTTGCTGCTGCTGCTGCTGCTACTACTTTTGCGCTGCTGATGTTGTTTGTTGTTGTTGCTGCTGCGGCTGTTGTTGCTGTTGCGCTCGTGTAAGGCCTTAAGTTTTAACCCTCATCCTGGGCCGATTCCGGTTGCTTGATTTCTCGATGAGGGGGCGGGGGG